CGCTGACAGCCTCAAAGCAAATACTGCTATTAATACAGTAGCATTTGGGGCGAGAATACCAGAGTCATGCCAATCTGTAGGTATGAAGGCCTGCCTGAGTTTCATGTTTGCCTCATAAATGTAAAGCGAAAGCACCCCTAACGAGGGTGTCACACACACTGTTTAACGCTCCCCTGATGGGTTTCCCAAAGCAACGTCATAGTTCGCGCTACTGAATGGCTCCCAGCAGGTTGGATTGTTAGGAGATCATGAAAATACACGTGCAGTCGCCACGTGAAGTCATATAATCTCCGATGAGGCCACGCCACAGGGAAACTACATGGTAATAGGTGTATTTATAAGAACTTACTTCCTAACTTGCACTTAATCCAATGCTACATCCTGGAGCTGAGAGCAAGGGTGTATTTTAGGAAGTGGTAAATATACAGCCTGCCTTATCGTTTTCCCAGTAAGACAAGCAGTGGAGAGTTCCTGCCCAAGATGAGTTGTGGCCCAGTTGCTGTTCTGATGGTGGTGAGTCAGACAAAGTTGCGGCTAACAGAGATGTCAGACAGCATCTCTAGACCTGCTGTCTGCCTCCGAAATGATGAGCCCATCATACCCCTGATCAGCTCTCGGATTACCTTCGTCGTTGTAGTTCTACCTCTGACCGTATGACTTGTCTCCTAAAGTCACCTGAAGAAATATTTGTTTTCATTTGAGGACGTTTATTTATTCTTGGTTATACTTTAATATTAGAGTCATCCTAAGTTGTATTGGTTGGTTAGAATTATTATTCTTGCAGCTTGTTCCCAGTAGCAGATAGTGCCTTTAGTTTTCATGTTTCCTGTCCTTCCTGCTTGCAGGTTGTGGGGAGTTGGTTTCAGTTGGCGCACCGATCACACATAGGAAGGCCGACAACATAGAAGGTAAATATGGTGTTTGGATGCAGGATCCTGAGAGTGTCTCCCCTTATGGACCCAACATGGTCTGGCGCATTGACACCATTGGCTCCGATGTCAGGAACCTGTTTGGGTATGAGGACATGAACCAACTCTCTAAAGGCTTTCCATCCAAGGTAGGTGTCACATGGAGGATATTTGTTCACAGGAATGAGCCAAAACTCTTCAGGCCATTCCTCATTATTGTCTCATGGTTTCCTTCGACAGGTCCTGTTGTTACCGGAGCCGGTGGAGAGCACCGGTGCCACTGTGTATCGAGGCTCTCTGTATTTTCAGAGACGACGTAGCCGCACCCTCATCCGCTACGACTTGGCCTCTGAGAGCATCGCAGCCCGTCGTGACCTCCCCCACGCCGGCTTCCACGGCCAGTACCCCTACTCCTGGGGAGGTTACACGGACATCGACCTGGCTGTGGATGAGCAGGGGCTGTGGGCAGTCTACTCCACCAACAAAGCCAAAGGGGCCATCGTGATGTCGCAGCTGGACCCGCACAGTCTGGAGGTGAAGAAGAGCTGGGAGACCAACATCAGGAAGAACACTGTGGCCAACACCTTCATCATCTGCGGCAAGCTGTACGCCGTGGCCAGCTACACGGCACCCGACACCATCATCAACTACACGTACGACACCGAAACCAGCCAGGGGAAGGCCGTGGCCATCCCCTTCAGGAACAAGTACCGCTACAACAGCATGATCGACTACAACCTGGCTCAGAGGAAGCTGTTTGCCTGGGACAACTTCCACATGGTGTCCTATGACATCAGGCTGGGTCGCCAGCAGGCAAACTAAGGCTGCCACGAGTGACTGCTGAAAAGTGACATTTGCTCACCTGTTCCTGCTTCAAAGACTCAAGAGCTTTAGAACATAATGTGTGTGGTAGTAGTAGTTATAAAGCCAACACCATCAGTATCAACGTGTAGAAGAGCATAACTACCAAACTCCAAAGACATTTGAGGAACAATGTCCCCTGCAGGTGTGTTTTTTTTTTCTTTCTTCAGTGGGAGGGCTTTTGCTGTGGCACGGTCCACAAACATGTTTTTAGAGGAATTATTTTTGTACCGCCTTTAATTCAGATGTATGATTTTGTTTTCTTGTTAACCTATATATAATTGAGGTCTGAAAGTTGACGCATAGTTGAATTTCACAAGCTGCAAGTGGGATAATTAATGAATACAATTTACAACACAAACTCCTGTGGTACTACAGTGTTTCACCAGTCAACATTTTTATTAAATAAAACTGCTCTCTCACTCAGCATGTATTCAATATTGCATGTACGTGTACATTGTAGTCAATATAATGACGTAATGTTCAAAATTGTCATGGAATAAACTTCTTCCTAAATTACAACAGCTTATGTGATTATTATGGTATTAAATACCTCTGACAAGTTATGGTGCCTATTATAAAGGCACTTAAGCTGTAACTAATGACATTAATGATGAACAAATCATACACTTCACTGGTAGCTGAGACATTTAAAACATGCAGCTCCAGATTTAGGGATTTAAAATTAAGTTCTCCAACTTCTAAAGCTAAATATGCATCGTTACAAGGCTGGGGGATGTGGCTCATGAAAAGTAGACTTTTTGGAGATAAATGCTTCTCACAGGACACCAGAGTGATGCTTTATAAATCAGTTACTGGCCAGTCATTACTTTTGGGTAGCCGTTTGTCAAAAATCGCTGTGTCGATTGAGTCAACATTAAAATCAAGCCATTAAGTTAATAAAATGGTTGACACTTTCTAAAAAGCCATCAGCAAAATGTATCAAGTCATATGTAGTTACCATTTACTGTATGTTGTTTAAAGTGATATTTTCAGTACATCAGAAGTTAATTAGCTGTACAACACTGTCAGAGGTCAAACTGTCCATTACAGGGGTCATGATGAATTAAAGAGCTTCCTAAAACAGAAGAAAGAGCACTGCAGGAAGATGAACACCAGCCAAAACCTGGCAATGCAAACAGTGTTCTTATTAATGGCTAATAACCTAAACCATTATTCAAAATAACTTAAGCTTTAATAAAGATATTTGTTACACCCTATTAACCCTTTAAAAAGAGCACCTCATTTGAATGTGCTAGCCAAGCACTGCATTACTTACCTAAGCACTCTGAAATGCTCATTTAAGTTGGTAAGTGTTGTAGTGACACCTAGTGGTCAGATTGATCCATGCTGAATTTGATTCTGATGAGTAAAATAAGGAAAGATGACTTCAAGTAAAAACAAACAGGCGTCACAGAAAAACATCTCAACAGTATATTATTTTATTAGTTTCTGTAACCAAACCGAGAGAATGTAAATAAGACCGTACATATTTTAATACAGCGATGAAACCCCTGTACAAGTTCAACAAAAAAAAAAAAGAAAAAAAAAAGAAAACAAAAAAAGAGAAAAGATCATTACCCTCCCTCCCTCATCCATCTTTCAAAGCAAGGACTCTGCTCCTGGCTAGGGTTGAGGTGAGGAGGACACCCTCCCCACCTCAGGTTGCATACTACTGTACATATCTGAAGGACCCTTGTCACCACAACCCCGAGATGAAAGCATTGTGGGTGGGACAGCCAGCAGAGGTGAGGCAGAGACAGAAAACAGCACTGATTGCTCTCATCAGTAAAGACAACAAAAACAATAAGTGTCCTTCTGCCCAAACGCTTCAGAACTTGAGGCTTCTCATTTCATTCTTTTTCCTTCCTCGTTCTTTGTGTACGTCAACCCTCGTGACAAGGGGGAACAAGAACAGGATACACAAAGTTTTCTACTGTTTCAACAATCAACTCCTCACCGTTTTCTATTCCTCTAAGTAGCCCTATCCTGCTATACTCTAGCTAAGGGCACTGAAATCAGTCAATAGCAGCAGGTCTGGGTGCTTTACAGTGAAGTGTGTATAGGTGTGTGTTTGTGTGACAGCAAAGATGGGTGTGTAAGCAGTGAAAGGGTGTGTGACAGTAGCCCCTAAACTGGAACAGCTGCAAGTAGTGATCATACATCATCCATGTAATCCTTTAAGTCCACTCGAAACTCTGCTGCCACGGCAACAGCAATCCTAAAAGGCTGTGACATCGTCTCTGCGCTGCTTTAACCTTTGGCTAAATATACAAGAGAGTCCAGCTATGAGCTCCCCCTCCCCCCCCCCGTTTAGACCACAAACACACACCCGAGACACACACCCCAACACATCAATAATTCTCAGGCAAGGAGATGAGAGCAGAAGGCAGGAGCAAAGGCTCACAGGCAGACTAATCAATAAATCAATCATTAAATTCAATTAACTGCTGCATTTTTCACATTTCCATTCTGGTAAAACAAAACAAAAACCCAAAAACAAAATGACAGAATGTCTGATTTCATGTCTCTGTGTGGTAACCGTGGATGAAACCGTTGAATGGATGTGTGCGCGTGTGGTTACGTGGTGCTTTTCCATGCGCACAAATCTCTGGATTAGTTATGATGGGAGATTGGGCAACAAAAAGTGTGCTTCACTAAAAGACATCTCCTTAACAAGATTGTTTTGACTACAAAAACAAAACTGATTCATTCTTTCGTTAACAAAACAGGTTTCTCCTATAATATGCGTGATCCTATTTGGGAAAAGAAATAAAATAAAGGAACAGAAATCAAGAGCTATAAAAATGGCAAACTCAGCAGCAAATCTCATTTCAATTTTCTTCCTCCAACTCGCTTCTTATCTACCGTCAGTAGATTTCTATGGAACAACTTGTGCAACCATTTTATCGGCATCTAAATATGATGGAAGAATCCAACTCAATCGCCGCCACCTACAGTGGGACAAGACAGGGGAAGAAAGAAGAGGATTATGAATACGCAGGACAGTGCCTACTCTCAGTAACCACTACCATTTGGATCTCAACTCATCCTCCTCCCCCACACTGTCCCCCAGGGCTGATATGAGGTGGTGACTGAGTGAATGGGGCTAGATTCTCTCTCTTCCATCCATGCATATCGTCATCTGAAGAGGGTCAGCCGCTCTTTTACTTGCCCTCCTCTGGTTTGATGGCCTGCGGTTTTATGGGGCCAGTCCGTATGGGCTTGGCCGTGGAGATGGGAGGTTTGTCAGAATCTGGGCGGTCGCCTACTGCCTGGTGGTTTGGGGCCGAGGTGTCGAGCGGGGGTTTTCCTCCCTGATCAAGCCGAGACACTTTGCTGACTTGCGGGGCCTTGAGTTGCTGCTGTTGCTGCTGCTCTGAGAAGAACTTATGAGTGGACTGGAGCACCTCAGCCCGCTGCTTTGCCTGTAGAGTGATCAAAAGCCAAAAAATAAATAAAATCAGCCAACCCACCAATCACTAAAAGAGCATGTCATCATCTGACTGGCCAGTTAAGAAAACAGATGCACAGAATGAGCCGATAAAATATGGAGCCAGACCTTTAGGTCCTGTTCAGCCTTCAGAGCCGCCTGTGTTCCTCTGGGTGCCAGGGAGGGACCAGGAGGTCCTCGGGGAGGGTGCTGGCTGTGCTGTGGATGCTGAGGGTGTTGTGGGTGTTGTGGGTGCTGTGGGTGCTGAGGGTGCTGAGGTCGGGGATGGGGCATTAGACCACCGCCCACATTGGGTGACATTGGAGGGCCCATGGGAGAGCGCTGGACACCTCCAGCAAACGAGTTAGCATGAGGAGGTCGAACCAGAGGAGAGACGATGTTGGGCTGAGACAGAATCTGAAATGAAGAGTTGACAGTTGCCTTTCATGCCGATAACCAGTGCACTTTATAAACCCAATCAAAATACAGGTTTTCTGATTATTATTCTACCTGTGGATTGAACTGGCCAGGGAAGTGCTGTGTCATTCTCATGCCGGCAGAGCTAGGCTGGAACTGCTTCTGGTACAGCATACTGTTCATCTTACTGGACTGGCTACTAGGAGAGGTGGAGCTTGCCCTGCAGACAAGGGAAACAAAAAAAAAGTCATGTGAATTAAGTGTATTAAACACACCATGGGTCACACTTGATGCGTGGTTGATTTTGTCTGTGTAGCAATCACCATCTTCATCACTTCAAGTTGTGGTGCTGCTTGTGTATACACAACTGTATTTTTTACCTGTAAGGGCTGGAGGTGGGTGTAGTGCTCCTGGCGCTGACGGGAGGGGTTCCAGGCTTCACATCCATCCCACTGCCAAAGAGTTTCAGATCCATGTCCATCTGCAAAGTGTCAAAATAAAAAAAAGACTGTTAAAAGAACACTTTTAAAAATCTAAACTATGCATGTGTTGCTCTCATACGTATGTTAAACTACAGAACCTTGCTGGTGGGAGGCTGCATCATGCTGTGGTTGGGGCCCATTATGCCTCTGTATGGCTGGGAGACCGGGGGCTGTCGGTTGATGTTGGGGGGTTGGGCTTGCGGAGGTGTAGGAGGCAGCGCCAGTAGGGGCTGGCCTCCGCCCGAGCCAAAGTTTGGCAGGGACAGCTGGGAACTGGGCAGAGGGACTGTCACCTGGAGAGAGATTAAGACAAATGTTACATATTCCCCAGTCAACAGCTTTTGTTTCACACCACTGGAAATTGAGCACACTTTGGAGACTGGTAAAACAAGATAATCTTTTGAAGAGGTTTATAAACATTAAATGTCTATTATTATGTTTGCATGTAGGTTACCTGTTGCATTGCAGAACTGGGCGACTGAGTGTTGCTATAGTAGCTACTCTGGCCATGTTGTTGGACCTGCCCCGAATACATATTTGAATGCTGATTCATCCCCTGTCGAGCCTGAACCAAAGACACAAAAATGTCAGATGAAATATGCACATACAAACACAAATAAAGTACAGTAGTCAGTATGTCAGGAAATATCATAAGGTAGAGTGAAATATTTGCTGTGAGCAGACTAGTTACCTGCAGCAGGTGTGTGTCAATGAGCTGGGAGCCTCCCATGCCAGAGGGCTGGTTGAGCTGTGGCTCAAACAGAATGGGAATGTGCTGGGTAGAGGAGGGCTGCTGATAGGCCAGATTAGACTGAGGCTTGCCCAGCTCAGGTGCCTGCACGCCGGGAAAGCTGTGCAGGGATGGTCCTGACAGCATCATGGAGGGCTGTGATAGGCTGCTCTGCATGAACGCCTGCTGAGACCTGAGGGAGGACAGATCAGGATAGAGGATTAAATGACAGAACAATGGTACCTGAAAATGGGGATCCTGGTACTTCAGCAGTACTCTATGTTCCAACTGTGTTTTTGAGCAGTGTCGTGCATTACCTGTAAGGCTGCAGTGAGGAGCTGAACAGGTCCTGTGGCTGGGAGACTGGAGGACCAGTGCTGAGTCCTAGCTGAGCCTGGTGTGTGTGTTGGTGTTGGTGTTGGTGTTGATGTTGATGTTGGTGTTGATGTTGCGGCTGACCTTGCAGTGGAGCATAAATAGGGATGGGAATCTGCTGCACTGCTGTCGGCTATAACGTGGAGAGACACAGACGGGTAGTTTTATTTTTCAAAATTAAAAACATTCTTGGAGCATGTTACTGACGAGTAAAAATCCCTACCTGTGAGAGGCCAGGCTGGAAGCCTTGCTGCTGCGCCAGGGAGGGAGGAGCCAAGCGAGTACTGAAGAGGTGGCTAGTGTCCATGTAGAAGGCTGGAATCTGTGCTGCAGAACCTGGAAACACAAGGGAATAAATATTAGTGATTAGTAAAAGACAGCAACAGTTAAAATATGAAACTGAACTATCAGGGCTATAAAGAAACAAGCAAGTTGGTGTTATACATAGATGGATGAATATGTTCAAGAACAAAGTTTTTATTTAATAATTTAAATTTAATTACATAACTTTTATAACGTCACAGTTCAGTGTCATGTTTCTCTCACCTGCTGCAGACTGAGAGACGTACACCTGTGGGGTCTGCTGCTGTTGGGGCAGGAGGGGAGGCACACAGCCCAACTGAGAGAAGCTGCTGCTACTACTGCTACTGCTGGAGGAAGACAGACTTCCACCCTGCAGTTGCTGGGGCTTCACCTTACAGATATTAGGGGGGTCAGAGGCTGTGGTGGTCTTGGTGCTGAGTGATGATGTTGTATAGGTACTAGAACCTGCAGGGTGGAGATAAAGACATGGTGAATACAATCATAATGTATGCCTAGACACTACTGTTGCGCAAATCCCAAACCAAACACACAGGGAGGTCAGTGTAGTGTACAATGTCAGACCACTGTTGAGATAAACAAGGTGTCAACAAAAGATACTGCTCGAGGTATACAGTAGACGTCACCTGGGAGTTGTATTACCTGACAGTGAGGTGCTGGGGGTAACAGAGGCCACAGGGATCTGTGGCATGGAGGCAGAGGAGAAGGTCGAGTATGAGGATGCACAGGAAGTGATTGGGGAGGAAGAGGAAGTGACTGGAGAATTCTTCTCCAGACTCGGGGAGTTCTCCCACGCTTTACGAGCTGATTCCATCTGAGGAGACAAAGAAATTAGTGCTTAGGGAATGTTTCAGTGAAACTCTAGACAGAAGTATATCTTAGAGAAAGTAATGTTGCTACATATGTTCACCTTTAGTGTTAGGTCAACAGTAGCAGGAGAGACGGTGCTGAGGCTGGAGCTCTGCTGCAGGGTCTCTCGTCGAGGGAGGGGCAATGAGTGGGGTAGTGCCACCTGAAACATACCAAAACATTTATTTTCATTTGAATAATGCCAACTTGTAACAGCTGTATGGGCCAGATGTACAGCTTTCTTTTTTAATTTCAAGAGATCATACAACATTTTGTGCCAGTGTAAGGACGTGTACTCACATTTGCCACCAAACTCTCTTCCATTTTGTTGCCTCCTGTGGGAACACTGTCAGCCAGCGAGGAGGAGGGGGCGGTGTAGTCAGTTACAGACTCCTAAAAGGCAAAGGCATAAATTCTGCTGAGTGCTATTGTAAGTTGGTGAGGGTATAATTTAATTGATAGATTGACTCTTAATGTATTTACAAAGTCAAGATTAACTTTAATAGTTTGGTAGAATAATCAGTTTAATACACACCTTGTTCACATAATGAAAAAATAAAATAAGGCTAAGCTGTGAGGTTATTACATACCTTAGAATTACTGTTGTACTCTGCTGAGGGGACTGTGATCATGCCCTCAATGTCTCCTCCAAGCTCTGGTACTGTGGTGTCACTGGTGGGAGGACTGGAGTCTGTGGCTCTACTGACGCCTCCCCCAGGGACTCCTCCTTCCAGCCCCTCGCCATCTCCTACACGTGCGTCTTTGGCCTTGCGGTTCTTTAGAGAGCGCTCTTTACCAATGGGACCTGGCTTGTACTCCTTGGTTTCCACTGGTTCCATTTCAGGAAGCTGGGGAGGAGTGGGGTTAAACATTTACATTGGAGTGGAGTTTTAAATAATACAAATCAGTTTGCTGTTTAATAGCTTGAAACACTGAAGTTCCCTCCAGAGGAGAGTTACCTTCTGTGTTTTGATTGAGCCAGCTCGAGGTTGTTTCTGTCTCTGTTCTTTGGGAGCAGGTAGTTTGTTTTCAGAGCCAGTTTCTAGCAAGGCTGGAACTCCATCACTGTCAGTGCTGCCTGCAGACGATGGCGCTCCAAACTGGATACTGTCTATTGCCAATTCTACACTGCCCTCTGATCCAGGCTTCACACCCTGATAAAAAAAAAGAAACAAAAACACACGCGATGTTTTCAAGGTTAATCATGTCAAAAGTATCCAAATGACAAACTCAAGACAACAAAAGATGAGATGGGCATATTTAAAATACCTCAGAGGAGACAGTGCCAGTAAAGGAGGTAAGAGGTTTGTTCCAGGCACCACAGAAGGTGGCTGAGGAGGGCTGATTGGACCAACTGCAATATGCAAATAACATATTTTAGACAAAAGCTTGCAGATAAATTCACCTCCGCATCACAAAGAGATTCAGGAGTCAAAACATACTGAGGCATTTGTTTAACAAGAATTAAAAATATCCACTCACGCTTCTTGACATCAGGAAGGACTGTGGAGCCCGCCACCTTGTTCTCCCACAGTTCTGTACCCAGAGTGCTGTGTGTCTGTGTAGGTGCGGGGGGTAGGCTTTTTGAGGTAAAGTCCACAGTGGAAGGGGGGATGGAGGGTAGAGGGGGCACTGTTCCTTCCAGAGTCTGAGGGGGTGCAGCAGGCTGGGAGGGGGCAAGGTGAGGATGCTGAGGAGCAGAAATGGGAGGCTGCTGTTGGGCCTGGGGTGTGGAAGATACAGGAGGTTGAGACTGTGACGTCTGTTGTTGCTGCTGCTGCTGTTGTTGCTGTTGTTGTTGTTGCGATGACTGCTTTTTGGCAAATCTTGGTGGCAGCTTTCCACCGCCTCCTCTGCCCTTCTCACCAGAGCCTTTTTTACTCCAGTTCTGTATGAGAATCAAAATTATTAGTACATATAGCTCACTCTCAATAAATGCATTGCCGTTTTAGTTTAATGGTTTATACTATGTACCACAAGCTATGCGCCCTCTTACCTGAGTAGTCTGCTCTTCCTTTTTCCGTTTCTCTTCATCCTGCAGGCGTTTTTGTTGCTTACGGGAGACCACCTCCGTGAAGCCATCATCATTAGTGCTGGACTGTGGGTCCTCTGTGGTGGTGACTTCTGGGTGGTCATCAATGATCACAACACCTAAAGTGACGGGACAGAAAGGGATCCAGACATTTACATTCAGTTTTCAGGTAAGGAGCAGCTGGGGCCAGGTATAGGTTCCTGGCTAATCAGTAAGAGACAAGTGACTAAATGTGTTTACTTACTGGCATAATTGTTAAGATCAAACTGAGAAAGAGCATTCTCCTTAGGCTTCTTGGCGGCCTGTTTGGCCTCATCTTTGCGTCGGGCAGATTGCTCTTTTGCAGACCTTTGGGTTGCTCCTCCCGCTGTTGGTGCTGATGCTTCTGAGTTCTGCTGGCCTGCAGGGCTGTTCAATTCAGACATGTTGGAGACAGAAAGAAACATTTTGTTAGTGTCTCAGGCCTTCACCACCACACTGCTGTTCTCACCAACAATGTTTACATGTAAATTAATAATGTAACGACATGAGATTTGTGTAAATAAATCTCATTTGCAAGCCAAAAGAAAATATGCCTCTATTTTTTAATTTATTACCATCCTCTCACTGAAGTAGAAGATGACAAAGAAGCCACTAGACAGCAAGTGTGTTGAAGCACTAGATGAAGGGAGAAAATGTTTTCACTCTTTTCTCCATCAGAAATGTCACAACCAAGTACAGCAAAAGTCTAAAAATACTACGACACTGATGCCATATTTAGTTCTCTTTTAACCATAACACTTCAAAACGGTCAATTACAGCACACCTGAGGACAGTAATCTACCCAAGCTGAGAATCCTTTCACAGTCTAAGCCTATTTGGACAGGCAATACCAACGCTTTACTCAAGTACGCAGATTCTGCACTAGCATTATTCAGTGCAACTATTAATTAGGAAGAATATTACACAAAAGGTTTATTGTGTATGAGTAAACACGCAGCGCTTTTCTACCGCACACTGTTCATTGAGCCAACTTCATTGTGCAAGTGTTAATGTAAGCAGACAAAATAAATGCTTAACAGACAATAGCTCAATTGTCTAAACTCACCCTTTACGGCCGGCTTTGGCCCCTCCCCTCCTCTCTCCTTTGCCCCCTGTGTAACTCCGGCCTGGTTTGGCTCCACTGTTGCCTCTACGATTCTGTCTCTCTGTAGGCCGCTGACTTGAGAAACTCCTCTTGGCTGCAGGAGCCCCTTCACGTTTTGGAGTCAACCCTCCCTCAGGAGGGCTTTTATTGGGGGTCAAAGAGCCTTGGGGGAGTGCAGGTACCGGGGCAGAGGCAGTGGCTGCTTCGTTAGCGGCCTCCAGGGCTCCTTTCCTTTCTTCTCGCTCCCTCCTTTCGTTGAAATCGCTGCTCTCAGAGGCAGTTTCCCACTCCTCATTGGCTTGATCAGAAGAGTTCTGGTTAGACAAGTCAGGGGACTTGGTACCGACTGCAGTGACGGTGGGGCTGCTGGTCTCAGGCAAGGCTGCTTCTATAGAAGAGGGTAAGTCTGGTGCAGGCATAGTAGATGCCACATCCGCAGGCACAGTTACAGGGGTTCCTGGAGCTCTAGACAGGGTTGGGGAAAGGGAGACTGGAGCAGGGGCAGAGCTAGGGACAGCAGCAGCAGGCACTGGGAGTAGAGGAACAGGGAGAATTGGGGCCATCTCTCCACTAGCTAACACTGCAGCCTCCCGCTCTTTCAAGCGCCTGAAGCGGGGGGGTTTATCCTGCCTCGGGGGGCGTGCGGGTCTGGATCGGCGTGGCCTCTCTCTACTACTCTGAGGAGCGCCATCCCCAAATTTCTTGCCATCAGACTTAGGGGGACGTCGGTCAGTGGGAGGATTGTCATATCTTGGTGTGGGCTCCGTGTCCTCTGGCCTGAATGTCTCCATGGGTTTTGAGGGCCACTGAGAGGACTCCCCCCTAGCTGCTGGCCGTCTAAGAGGGGCTGAGCGAGGGCCGCCACGCTCCCTTGCTCCACCTCGTCTACTGTAAAGTCCCCCTCTTCCTCGTCGAGAAGGCTCTCCTTTAGGAAGGAATCCTGGCTTAGGCCTGCTTTCATCGTCCCCTCTGGATCCAACCCTTTCCCCCATGTGAGGAGGTCCAAAGCCTGGCTTGTGGGGCCCAGACCGGAGCTCCCCAGGGAGCTCTCGCCTCAGTGGACGGCTAGGTTTGGTGCTAGGCTCACGGTCAGAGGGTCCAGTATCACTGGCAGACTCCCTCCCACCTTCACTTTCAGAATCTGTGTCTGAACCCCGGCGCCGTCTACGTTTTGGTATAACCTCAAAGTCTGAGCTTTCGCTGCGTGTCTCACTTTCCTCCCTGTTGCGAAAAGCAGCAGCACCTCCAGCAGTAGGTAAATCAGAGCGTGATCGGGGTTCTCTGTAGTACTCTGCCCGGCTTCGACCACGACTCCCCCTGCCTCGGCCACTGTAAGTTCCCCGGTAGCTCCGTCCTCTGGAGTAATATTCCCCTCGACCACGTCCTTTGAAATTTGAGTCAATGGGCCACTCTCTTTCTCTGTCCTTGTCCCTGTCCCTGTCCCTGTCCATTTCCTTCTCCCGCTCACGTTCCCTCTCTCTCTCCTCTCGTCGGTAGGCACGTGGAGGAAGATTGGACTCTTTCCTGGAGGGCAGTTTGGGTTCTGGATGTTTGTCATTGCTGGGCGGTTTGTCTGCTTTTTCCTCTTGAGAGGAAGAGGTAGGAGCCCCAGATGAAGGCTGAGAGTCCCTGGTTCTCTGATGGCCAGTTGGTGTTTCTTCAGCTTGAGCAGCTTCTCTCTTCGCCTCACCCTGAGGTCTGGAGCCCTCGGACACAGCAGCAGCTGCAGAAGGAGCTTTGGACGACTGATCCTTTTTGGGCCGGTCTCCTCTTTCCCCTCTTTCGTGACGCTTTTCTCGCTCTTCTCTTTGCTCCCTCTCTTCTTTCATGTCCCTTAGGACAGGCTTCTTTATTGGCCCGGACCTGCGGACAGGTCTCTCTCCCCCTGGTCCTTCTCTGCGTCCGGCACCTGATCTCCCACCCCAGCGCAGCTCAACTTTTTGCTTGTTAGGGGCTGGCAAAGGCAGCTTCTCTTGTTTGTGTAATCCATCAGCAGGAGGTGTAGCCCTGTTGCTGGTCACTGCAGCCTGGGTATAGAGTTCATTCTGGGGCTTATCATCACCCCGTTCACCTGTGTCCTGTAGTTCCAGTGATTTCGTTCCCAGGGGTAACCCATCAAACCTAGGCTCATCCAGCTTGAGGGAGTGACTGGAGCCCTGGGAGACACTCCTCTGGAGCATAGCTTGACCTAGTGCTTCTACCTCTTCACCACTGGGTAGACCTGGCTCCTCAGGATCAAAGGCTGGGCGTATAGGGACCATGTCCAGTTGCCCTGATGCATCCTCTGGGCCCTGGGTAAACGCTGATAGGGACTCTGTAGGGTCCTGGAAGAAGTTACTTTTATGCGAGTCCAATGCACTGTGGTCCTGGGGATACATAGCCGGGAGACCCCTATCCAGATCCAAACCAGCATCCATCCTGTGGAGAAAGAAACAGTTGTTAGTGTGCCATGTCATTTACTTACATTACATTTTTTATTTATTTTTTTTTATTTGATAGTAACAGCTGTAGAGATACAGGAAAGTGGAGGGGGGCCTGCAAGGTTGGAATCGAACCTGGGTTGCTGTGGTAAGGATTCAGCCTTTGTACATAGGACTCAAGCTTATCAGAGGAGCTATCAGGCATTCCCCCATGTTCAAAAATTAAACGTTCTTATGTTGTCATGTATAAATTCATTTATTGTTTACCTTGGCTCCTTGTTTTCATCTCGTAGTTTTGGAGGAGTTACAGATGGCAATGGCTCCGACTGTGGGTATGGGTCTGATCCCCATACCATCCGCGAGTCTGTTGGCAGGCCATGGTCACGAATTGGTCGGGTCAAGTGGTCAAAGGAATCAGAGCTGGAGCTGGAGTTGTCACCAGGCTCTCTGCGCACGATCTGCTTAGGAGGCATCCTCCCTGGAGAGGACCACACAGAGTGACTGTAAATAGGTTGTCTGGCACATTTGTCAACTAATCAGTATATTCAAAACCAATAAATATACTCATTCATTCTCCATTTCTATTCCACATAACTTCCTACCAGGGTGGATGTTAGTTGGCATGTCCATGGGAGGACGTCCGGACATCATGCGGGGGTCCATGTAGGATTGCATCATGAGCCAGCGGGGGTCGAACCCCATGGAGGCCAGGTGCTGGTGGTGGGGGCCCATTGGTTGATACATGGAGCGGTGTTGCTGCTGTTGCTGCTGTTGCTGTTGGGTAGCTGGAAGTCCGCTACCACCTGATGGGGACACAGAGCCCCCACTCTGCTGCTGCTGTTGTTGCCATTGTTGCTGCTTCATTTGCTCCTAGAAGACCAATAAGGAATAGTGACAAAGAAATTGGAAGAACAATAAAGCTGATTTGGTTTTGATAATTTCATTGTTTGTATATACACGACCACATAATCAGCTGTCTTTGCGGTACTGATGGCTAAATGTCATTATCTGCACAATTCTGTCAATGTTGGCACGTATGCTCACTATCTGACCCAAACCAAGGCTTTACAAATGTCAACCTGCCTTTATTTGGTACAGGCATCTATATGGGACAGATGTTTAATTCCTTTCGCACAAAACTCTCAAAATAGTATGAATATTATGCTATTGAATAACATATCAATTACAAATCATTGATCATTCATGGTTTCTGTAACATTAACTGAACTTGATTTGTGGAGAATCTAGCTAATCTGACGAAGCATGACTGTTTGAATGTTTATATTTGTGTAGGCAATTTAAGCAGCTTAGAACTTGCTGCTCAAGCGGGCAACCAGGTAAGAAGTTCTATATATCCTAAGGATTTCTATAAAATACAGACCAGGTGTCTAACTGAGACTTGCATTTATTTGTCAAAACGTGTAGCCACACCAGGCTAGTAAAAGGGACCTGTGTCTAATTGAGAGCCTGCAACATCCCAGCCATTATTTACTCAAGAAGCCAGACGTGGACAACATTACCTGCTGTCTGAGGAAACGAGGTGGCAAAGACTTTTGAAACTGTTTGGAATAGCCTGAGGTGAGAGAGGGACGCATAGCAGCTGCTGCTTCTCCTTCCAGCTGTGGTGGTGCCACAGGGACTTCCTCACCGCTGGGGGGGTCCATGTGAGGCAGAGACAGGTGGGGCTCATCCACTGCAGGAAAACAAAATCAACAGTATTGGCATCTATGACTGAAAGAATGGAAGAATTTATATGCAACTTTTAAAAAAGGCTCTTTGATAACTCACCTCTGTTGTCCTCTATGTTGAAATAGTCTCGTATAGGCACTGTTGTCGTCTTGTCAGGCTGATTCTCCTCTATCAGGGGCCCGACCTCAACTAAGGAGCTTTCTCCCTCGCTGTGAGGCTCTGGTGCTATGGTCACAGGTCTCTGGAGAGGGGGGCTGGGCTGAGGAGGCAAGTGAACCTCCTCTTCCACACTTGGTTCTACTCGCTCTCGTTCTCGCTCCATCCTCTCCCCGTCTCGATCCACCATCTCAGGTAGAGGAGCTTGCATGATTGGGGCCTGTGATTGTGAAACTGGGATCGAAGGTACGGGACTGGATACAGGAGCAGGAGCTGGAGCTGACGAGGAGGCTTCCTCATGAGCAACTCCTGCATCATCGTTGGTGGGCTGAGCAGGGGCCGATTTGCCCTCAGTTGTCTGCCGGTGTTTTTCATTGAGACGTTTAAGTTTTTCAGCACAAGCAGCAAGCCGCTGTTCTTCCATCCGCCGTTCCTCTTCCTCTCTCCTCCGTCTCGCTCGTTCTACAGCTTCAGAAACTTCTGCAGGCTTCTTGCGTTTCTGTCGCCAGGCCTCAGAGTCCTCCTCGGCACCAGGTGGTGCTGCAGCCTGTGGTTTGCTTCCACGAGGAGCTCCGCCACCAACAGGACGACTGCCGCCCTGGAGAAGAGAGAAATTAGTAAAGATACAGACTTATTGCCTTGCTGTTAAAATAAACAGTGCACACATAATGAGAGGCTTGTGTAATGCATATTCAGCTTTACCTGGTAGTCCTGTGGAGCAGCTGACTTATTGTACTGCCCCATACTGCCAGGTGATGGCGCTCTGGGATCTGCAGTGTCAGCCCATGAAGTTTTACTGCCCCCACGGTCCTCAGAACCCTCCTTCCAGGTCTCCTGACCGTCTGGCGGCCGAGATCTTATACGCTCGCGACCCATCCACTCCCTGAAAATAATGTCAATATAGTTACATAACAGCAAAAACATCACAGGTGATTTTAGCAGACAGTCACCCCAGTAAGCTAGCTCTGTAGCTACTTCAACCAATCAAAACTTCATTACAAATACTCTCATGGGACAGTGTGTTCTATCTGAAATACATTATATTCTTTCCTGCTCTTTGAGTCAGTATAACAATCTATACTAAACATGTAAAATTGTTTAGCTCTACCATTAACTATGTTTTTCCATGTTTTAGTCTATTTATTACAAATCAAATATTTAGCTCAGTCGGTAGAGCTGGCGACCCATGTACCGAGGTTGAGTCCTGGCTGCAGCGGCCCAGGGTTCGAGTCCGACCTGCGGCCCTTAGCTGCGTGTCATCCCCTCTCTCTGCCCCCCTTTCCTGTCTGTGTCCAGCTGTCACTATCATATAAAAGGCAATAAAAAGCCCCAAAAATACTTAAAAATAAAATATTTCACATGTTTGTGTATGCATTTTTCCTAACAAGCAGCCACGGCTCTCCATTAATTTGTTTACAGTATGAATATCAACTTGCAAAGACTTAAACCAACCCAATATTAAACCGGCATGAACAGCATGTCTAGCTGTATTATTGCCAAAGGTATATCAGTACATGGCAATGCAGTTGCAAATAAAAAACAGACACACAGGATTTCCATGGCATAATTTGATACAACTAACTGTGATGAGTTCCTATTCTATCTCTAGGTTTTCAAGTATTCAGTAGTAGATTTCCAGACTTTAATGGAAATTAAAGGCTTTCTGCAAGGCAGGAGAACAACCTATACATGTAAGGCATACTTATTAAATGAAGGAATGTTAGAAATATAATTTCTACACATTTTGGACCAGATTGGCTAAGTTCTCTTGTGGTTCTTTAATAGTGAAGCACAGAAGCTTAATAGTGAATAATACAGGATAATGCAAAATACTCACCAGTTTTCTCTTTTTTCTTTAGCAGCTTGGTTCTCTTCATCGTCGCTGAAGTTAAGTTTTTCAGTGTAGTCCACCTCCATCTGAGCTCCTGGATTGCAGAAGGGACAGGATTGGTAGATGCTACAACTACTGACATAACAATTGGTTAAACACTGAAGTTCATATGCAAGGTATAGCTACTAACCTGCCCAGCCCTCATCGGCCTCAGTGTCCAAGTTGTCCAGTTCTTTCAGTTCTGTTGCGCTGATGATAGAGGGTCTGTCTGGGTCCTGGTGCCAGGACTGAGGGGGAGGCTGCTGTGGTCGTGCTAAACGAGGACCCCTTAACATCCAACAGAGAAAAAAGGAGAGGAAAGTTCATTATGGGACCTAGTCTAGTAAATTAAAAACGTTCCCTTATGAACTCTATTGAATTTTCTGTTAATTATTAAGGAAGACTCCAGAGTATATTGTGTGCAATAACTAAAATCAAATACAAATTAAAAATGTATCCACCCAGGGTTTGACCATTAAGATGTGAACTCACTTTGCTCCATCTTGTGGTACAGGGTATCTTATGTTTCCTTGCCCTGGGCCAAAAGTCATTTGAGGATAGGCGTGGAACATCTAAAACACAAACAGTAATCATCACGCAGGGTCAAGCAGAGATCAACACTACAAGTAGATCCTGTAACGCTACGCTAATGGTGGTCTGTCCAGAATGTCAAACTGTGACTTACGTAGGGTGGCATCATGCTCCTGAAAGCCGGGTCAAAGTGAGTTGGCACCCCAGCTGGAGGCTGCTGGCCCCCATTAAGTTTAGGCTGAGGTGGGCCAGAGGGGGGCAACCTCTCCCTGCCATCCCTCTTCTCCCTTTGACTGTCAGTGGTTACATTTCGCCCAGGTTCATCAGCTTCCCCTGGTGGTGTAGAGGTACCCAGGCCCGTACTACCCTCCTCCAGAGCCCTGTTTTCCATCTCAGGGGGGCTGGGTGCAGTGTTCAAATTCCTGCCTCCGCCCTCACGCCAACTGCCAACATCTAAGTGGACAGAAGGAAGAGAGATATTTATTGTTTGACTTGACTTACAGTCAGGAAACATGTGGTTCTTGAACACAGCGCAAACATAAAGCAATCAGGGCTTAACACCGAATGATGTTTATGTGCATGAGTGTGGCCATACTTTGAGGTCTGAGGCTGGGGCCTGGTCCATAAGGCTCCTCCTCTTGACCGTCCCCTTTCTCCACCTCCCCAGCTGCCTGCAAGCTGGGAAATTCCTGGTGAAATTGGCTACTCACACGAGGAGCTCCTGTAAAATACAAAACACATTATTATGAATGCACATAAATCACAAGATTGAATATAATACAGCGACTTAGAGAAGCATTGAAAAGTCTAATCCTCAGTTGGTGTTCAGCACCCCTTTCAACCCAACATCCCATTTAGCAGAGATCAAATGGGTCTGCATTCCATGCAGACTGTAACAGTTGAGTGCTGAAGGACCTTGGGCCAACAACGTAGGTAATCTATGTTTTATGAGTAGGTGTAATGCCTAGGGAGCAAGTATAGAGCATATTTACCGTCTAGCTGAGTCGGCTTGCTGTTGGCCCAGGAGCGGCTGACCCCAACAGAAAGCTCTTGTGACTGGAGCACTGCTGGTTTGCTCTGGGGTGGCGGTGTCTCTTGTTGCCTGTGGCACAAAAAACAAGTTTCCATCAAAACTCAATCTGAAACATGGATGACAGACTCTTCGTCCACATTGTTGTAAAGCCCTAGAGAATAACTGTAGTACTTAACATACACCTTCATTTAGATTCAAGAGGTATAGCAAAAAGGATTGCCTAGTTTCAGTTTGTGTATGCGTAACGTTATAAAATTTACCTCTCTTCCCCCCCCTCAGATCGAGATGCCCAGCCACTACCGTCTTTGGGGACGATGTTGACGTTAGGGTCGTTTCCCTTGTTCTCTGCCTTCAGGCTGGGCAGGTTGGCCGGAGGGGGCATGCGCCGACTGACAGCAACTTTGCCCAAACTCTGGAGCCCATGTCTGGCAGCCACTGGGATGAAGAAATATTCATGTAAAGGAGAAAAGCAAAAATGGGGTTTTTAAGAAAATCAAGCTAAGAACTTAACTGAAGCCATTCACATCTACTGCAAATACAATCCATTCATTAGTTAGCACATGTAATAGTATGCAAGATTAACAGGCAATTCTAGTGGTGGCTTACCCGCAGTTTTCTGGGTTTCCAGAGATTTGCCCTTGTAGGTATTGAAGAGGCTAAGGGTTGCATACTTTGTTTTGCCATCCTTTGCCTTGGTGCTCTGCCCTGACTTCTCTGACATTTCGCTGGAAACTCATTGAGTCTGGTCCTTTGGCCTCGCCCCCAGAACCAGCCTCCTATAGACCCAAAAAAAGATGGAGAGGTTAGAGGTTAGGATCCAGACAGACCACAACAGATATCTGAACTTTCTTTGATGTTCACCAACATACTATAGTTTATGTAAGGAGCATCTTTCTCTGTAAATGTAACCCCTGAGCCTGATGCCGATTTACAAAGCTATGAACCCGCCTTAGTGCAACATCACATTAGTGCCATGCCACAAGATGGAGTTCTGGTTAGTTGCAAGATAAGGATGATCAACATAAGTTGATAGAGCAACTTTTCAGAAGGTGATGAATATGTCACCTTAAAGTGATCCAGGTGCAAATGATATACAGAATTAAGCCCACACAAAAGTACAACATATAACACGACATCAATCAATAAGAGGCAAACATATACTGAGGCACGCAACCAGGACTATTACTGTACACTGGAGACGACAAGAAATTAGGGAGAGAGAGAGGGAATGATTCCTCTCCTGATTAAATTCAAATACCAACCTCAGGGTATACTGCAGATCAGTGCTCTCTTTTACCCACATTTACAATCTAAGTACCTTATTTTGCAGAACCAATTAGAATTACTTTTATTCAAGGTAACATAAGGTCAGGAATTGCTGTGGCACTAAAAACTGAGTCACTGGCCCACTATGACTTAATGAACGACAAAAAGAAAAAAGTAATTATTGATTCATCATGTCTGGCCAATACCCGATCCACTTGATAGCACCTGCCCTGATCTGGCAGATCACATACATATGACAAGTCTAATGAATGTCACAAACCCACTATATTGCTAGAATACAAATCTGAGCCTGTGTATAGAATCAGGGACGCGCTCAAGTTGTCAGTCAGCATTGGCTATAAAGTCTGAACCTTTGACTTTTGTTTGCTCCAGGTAAACCATCTGTCAAAAATGCCCCATTGAGCTTTGTTAAAAACACTGTAGCGTGAGCTGCAGAGCGTGCCGCAGCCAGCTGTTTCAATTAATGATAGGTCCTGTGTGTTCAGGAACGGCGCAAGGACGGTGACTGGGTTTGGACCGGGAACCTGGGCAGAAAACATGTATTGTCTACCAGTGACAAAATGGTAATTTTGTATGCAGTATAAACCCAATTTAGGAAAGCAGCAAGACATGCTAACTGGATGGTGGGTGGGGCCTTGAAGGCAAAGGGAGCAGGATTTAGGATACTTAGAGGGGGAGCAAGAAACAAGGCAGAAATCAAATTGAGTGAGCAGTACCATGGACAGAGAAACAGCATGTATGGGGCTGCAGTGTTTTTCCTAAGTCACACAGAGGTCATTTATTATTAACAGCAGTGGTGGAACAGTGTCTGTGAGTGTGTGGGGTTAGGTGTGTGTGTGTGTGTTTTGGGGGAGCTGACAGCTCTGATGAGTCTCTATCTGCAACTTGGCCTTGGATCTCTGCAAAGGAACATCCACTTGAAGGAAAAGTCCTTTTGTTTAAAAAAAAAAAACCCAAACAAACAACAACCTGGGGCTTATTTTGTAAAATGATCAAACCATATCAATATAGCCCAGGTTAAAGTGTATTTTTTATTTTACTTTAAATAGAAAGCTAATATTAACTGTGGGATCAGCAGTGACGCTAGCCAATACAGCTCCTTAGTACCTAGATTTGAAAAAATATAAAATTGTACAGTAGATTAAATAAAACATAAAATATTTCTGTGCCTTTAGATAAATACTGCATTTGAGAAGTTATGCTGATGCTTATTTTAGTTAATAGAAAATCAAATGTATAAAGTTAAGTCTTGTACCCAGCTCTGCATGCACAATTTAATAATCAGGGCTCATTCTGTACTCTATCTATTTCAGATGCTCGGTACGTCACTGGTGTCAGTTCATCTTTAAACTGGTGTACATTATGTTTCTGTAACTCTGCTGCAGGTGTCCATAGCTTCAAATAAAAGTGTAATGGGACAGTGCAGGCTATACAACACGTAATTACACACATTTTCCTTCTATGTTTTTGTAGTTGATCACTGAAGGCTGATGAATGGTGACAGTTTAATGCATTACTGTAATTGAGGCTTTGAGCCCAGGTATCTGCAGATTCACTTTCAAGCTGTCTGAAGATGGATCTTCCAGAAACAATACCAGACACTGCTATTGGCACAGACAAGAGATTTTCAAACTGGAAGAGGTGACACCACATAATTAGTGTTTCCACCGGTCTTGTCACACACACGCCACATGTTCTGACAAACTACCGGCACTAGTCCACACAGATCTAAGCACTGCCACAAACTTGCACACTTCAGGGTCCCTTGAACACATGCTTGTTGATTTGTGTGCACTGTGTACAGCAGAAGAATAAAGAGACACAAATGATCTGGATGAAGCTGTAGTTGAAAACCAGGCTGAGTGTGGCTTCTACATTTTCCAGAGCAGACTGCTCACAGACCAGCGGATACATTTCTGAGAAACTGACAAGTGAAACAGTTGCAGTTATCGTTATAAATCAGTGTTTCTATTACAATTTGGTCATGTGCAGCCGTGATGCTTGACAGGAGGTTTGGGAAGCAAAACGTTTTGAATGTACCAGAAACACTTCATCATTTTAAAGTACTCTGTAAATTGCATCACTGCAGCGGGGCTAGCAAAGTAGTATAAGAGCTTAACCCTCTCTTGACTATTGAGGGCGTTTGTCTGAGACACCACAGGACACACATCGATTATATCAAACATGCTTGATCAAAATCCCCAACCAGGGAGGGGTGTCATAACTGCACCTTAACAAAGAAAAAAGAAAAAATAAAACAACTAATAACTACTATCAGAGCACCTTTTATCAGGTAAAGCCCATCTGCCACCTAGCTGTGATTCTGTTGGTGTGAAATGTCAGCTTAAGGAGTATGGAGCAGAGGATGGGTGTAAAATAATGTGGATAAACTCTGACATCAGAGGGGTACGATGTATGAGGATGTGAATGAAGCCCAAATGACAACGGCCCTACTGCCTCTGTGCACAGCCACAGACCACAAATGGTGTTACCTGTTCAGTGAGACCACAGGAAAACTCCAGGGGCTAAAGTCACCATGTGATGAGACCATAGTATCCCTGCTCCCCAGCCTCAATCCGCTCAACCGGACCTCCAGCATGACCCCGCACTCCTGCAACTACCTGCATCACAGCCCATCCATCAAGGTAAGCCCTTTCTCTCCCTTTTGTAATACTCACAAAATACCAACCGTTGGCGTTTCTGCTGGACAATAACTCGTTCATTTGGGTGTACGAGTGCATGTGTTATGAATGTTCCTCACAGATTTTGGCGGTCCATCAAACCATGTGGCCAGTAAAATTACCTCCCTGTCTTGGTGATGATACTTGGCAGCAAGAGATCGAGCATCCTGCCTTACAGTTCACTGTATTGTTCACTTTAATAGTGGAATGACTGTCCAACAGTGTCAGGGGAACATAAGCCTCAGAGCGGTTATACTGGAGGTCTAAATGAAAAGGGAACACTAAAAGTTTGTGCCCCAACAGAATACTGTGACTCTCTTTTGCATTGTAGATCTTCTTCAGGTTCAACCTGCGGATCAGATGACTTACCTGTACAGTGCTCATGCAGCCCAATCTTTTGTTTACGAGTGGGTCACGGGACTGACCGATGTAATGCAACAGTGAAGTCGCAGAATGAGAAGTCATGTAGACGGCCTGATGACGGATGCTGAAATAACAGGCTTGTATTTCATTGTCCCCGTTGGTGTATGTATTATAATGTGTTCAGTGAAGAACTATGGTCTAAATGTTTATACGTGTGTGTGTGTGTACGGCGTAGACTGTGAACATGAATATCAAGACACTGAGCTGCTCGTCCTGGCCTGGAAATACAAAATGAACTAATTTGCACACTTTAAGCACATAACAACTAATGTTCACTCTGATCAGGGTCAATGCAAAGAGCTCCTTTCACATCTCCACCATTGATTACAGTTCTTGGCCCAATGTGCATAAAGCACGGGAAGAGACAGACTGGAAGCCACTTAAGATTATTGTGGCTCTCCAACACCCGGACATCAATACCAGTGAGGCGGTCTCTGTTGGGAGTTTGCTGGTACACACGCACACGGTAAACTGGAGGGTGGCAGCGTCGTCATTCATTTGATGGTTAAGTGGTTAGACGAACAAATGAAACATTTGTTACTGCGAATGCCAGATTGAAATATACACATGGGAACACTTTGGGGGATTACGCGATGCAGTCTATGAAGAGCAACATTTCATATCCATCTAGGTTAAAGTCGATTTAGTGTGAAATGTATCACGATATCAAAACAATTAGCATCTCTTCTTTTGTAAATCACTGCCTGAGCCTCCCAATAGCTACTCCCATCTTCAGCAGCAGACCTCTGATCAGGCCATATGTATCATTGTTGGATAAATCAATAAGTACTACTCCAATCAATATGTGTCTGAATGGCCTGGCTCATGGATGCATTGACAGAAACAATACCATGAAGCAATTAATAATGGTGGTTTCCACATCTACAGATACAGTTTGTGTGTCATTCCTAGTCTCTCACACCCAACTCTGCCAAACTCCTAAATGTGCACACTCACACAGTAAAAATGTTCTCCTTTATGACCACATTAGTTGGATGTGCAGGAGATCATGACTGACCAGGAAACCAATGTGCTAGTGAGCACACCAGACTTAACACAATGAATAACGAGAATAAATCGCGAATTCATCGCCAGCACATTTAGTCCAACTCAGATGAGAGGACAGCCAAATGTATAACGTCGTATTGTTTCTGTAAATCACTGCCATAGAGGAGTCTGCAGGCCATCCTTCCCCCATGAATCAAACTCCTGGTGGGCTGGGAGCTCGCAGCCGGCAGGGAGTGGAGGCCCTCTCCCCCCGGAGCTCAACCACACTGGAAAAGCGCTAAAGTTACACACAAAAAAGCCAACATTATAATGTAGCCAGAGACACAGATTTCGGTGTGTAATACGGAGCAGGGTGCTGGTAGGGAGCAGGCCTCCAGCTTGCATCGTTTAGCATAGTTTCGTTTCTCACTAGTCGCCATCACATCCACTTTCTGCTGCCAGAGCATGCTAACAGCTAGCGTTGTGTGAACACCAACACATCAGCCGCCGGGCACAACTCCTAAATATCAACCTGCGTGACATGCTGACCCACCTGCCACCGCCGGTGCCTCCTCTGTCCTCTTGGCTGTTGTGTGGCCTGACCTGAAATCCGGTTTCGGCCCGGTTCGTGGCGGACGAGTGTGTGTGTGTGTGTGTGTGTGTGTGTGTCTGGCCGGCGGATTACAAAAGCTGGCTAGCCCGCTAACCCAGTTGGGCTAACGATGGCTAGCTCCCTGCTCGCTGGCTGCCCACAACCCGCTCTCTCTCTGCACATGCACGGATACCGTTTTGTGTCCTCCGCGCCGGTTTCAAGCCGCCAGTCTCGTCTCGTCTGTTCGGCCGTTGCTGTGGGAACCGGTGTTCGGTCGCCCCGGTGATTCCGTGTCTGTCCTCACCCGTTGTCTCGTGCCAGACCGTTCTTCTAGTTGAGTGAGGCCCCGCTCGCGCCGCGGCCTGTCGCACAATCAAAGATGGCAGACTGTGGTTGCCAGATTGATCCTCTCTTATCCCCCTCTCGAGTCCCGACCCCCTGCGCAGCTGGTCGGTCGCACATCTGTCACCATTAACCCCACTCACTCACTCACTCACTCACTCAGAGGAGGGTCGGCCACCCGGGTCCAGCTCTCTTCAACAAAGAGAGACAGATGTTTTAACTGTGGACATTAGGGGCATTAACACTCTACATAGATCTACATTTTTATAGTAAATAAGCAGATATTTAACACCATAAATCAGAATAGATCATGTTTACCTTTTAATTTATACATTTTGTTTACATTTGTGGTGAATCAGTAACACTTAACGTAAGATTAGAGTAAGAGATAATTGTTGTAAGCCTAATAATAGTATCTATATTCAGAAGTAAAAAGGTAGTAAAATAGCTATAGGTTATTCAGTATAGTAAACACAGAAGGCTAAAACTCACAGTAACTAATCTGCACATAAAGTCCTGATTTGATGAAAGGTTAATACACTTCTGTTCATATTATCCACTGAGGTATGAATATTATATTATTATTAAATACTGTGATGTTGGCTGAAACAATACTCGGTCTACATTATAAGTGCTAAGGGTAGTCCATGTTTTTGGCTTAGGGCGTATGCCTAGGTCATTTTAAACGAGGCTGTTGTAAAAGAAGCCATCTGAGTTAAAGTCAGGTGTTAAGAGTCTGTTTGTGTTGTCTGTAGTATAAATTGACAAAGTGGATTTAACATTCACATGATACAGTTGTGTTGAAGTGTGCAACCATACAAACACAGCGGAATTAACAAAGTAGCCTGTATTGTTATATATGTCAAATGGTTCACATCCCTCAAATAACATTTTTACCAGAGGTGTCTCTAAACCTGGCAACCCAAACGTTAACGAGTCACGCGTGGACGATTCTTCTTCCGGGGTCTACCGGTGGTTCACGAGCGGCGGTTAGTGTGATGTCGAGTCCAGCTCAAAGTTAATGTACATAAGAGGTTTATTATGTTTGTTTGTTTGTTTGTTTGTTTGTTTGGGTTTTTATTTTATTTTTCATTAAAAAAAGTAATCTATCTATCTATCTATCTATCTATCTATCTATCTATCTATAGCTCAAACAATTGTATAGATAGATAGATAGATAGATAGATACTTTATCGATCCCGAGGGAAATTCAAGTAGGCTATCCAGTAGCATACAAAATACAAAACATACATTAAACTAAAATTAAAAACCCTAACCTTAAGAATAGAATTAAAAATAAAATAAAATATAAAATATTATAACATATAAAAATAACAGTAGCTATATTTAAAATTAAGAGATATCTGAGATATTAGAGAATAGTTGTCCTATATATATATATATATATATATTTTTTTTTTTTTTAATTTAAAACAACGAATAGCCTACATATAAATATAGAAGAATAAATGGGTTCTCTTTTACCCAACCAGAACTGCCTTATGTAGTCTAGTGTAAATATATGTGTGTATTTGAAGGGGTTATTTTAACACTGGACTTTTCCTCCAGAACACATCAGCTAAACAGATGGTTTACAATGTTACTGGCCACAAATGGACTGAATAACAAAACCAATCAAGTCTACTGCTTTATAGATTTTTATATTAACAAAGTCAGTGGTGAACTTAATGATGGTGCTTGGCTTAGGTCACGTAAAAAAACTAAATAAAGAAAAATAATACACAGTTTTTCATGCTCCATATTCACTGGTATTGTTTATTTTTTATTTAATTTAATATTTTGATTCTTCAGATTTAGCTACTGACTCTGAGTACATGAGATACAAGAGAGATCCAGAGGGAGATCCTTAAGCACATGATTCCAGTGTGATGAACTGAGACACAAAGCACTACACAGTAAGTTGTTTAAAGTAGTTTTTTCAGGTCAAGTGTCAGCTGGATTCTGAAGCTGCCATTAGGTGGCATCATTGACCCATGTACATTATCCAACCAGGAGCTGGAGTAATAATGTAATTGAAACTACCTGAGGTGCAAAGTAAAGTACATTTGCTTAAGTGTTGTTCTTTGAAATACTTCTACTTGAGTCCTTTTGTCCGATGTTACACTAAAACAGTAGTTCTCAAAGAAGATGCACACACCTCACAATTTCTATCAAATATTAACAGCAACAGGGAAAGCAACTAATCAAGAAAAGGATCTAAGCTTAATTTCAATAATAAGTAAACTCTAGTTTATTTTCCCTACATAAATCAGATTCATTCAACTTAGTTTCATTCTATATTGTTTCACTGGTCATCCACAACCCAGCAGGAACACTACATATATTACATTTAACATATGCTATATGCTAATTATTATAAGCAGCAAGTCAGCCATGTATTATACTATACTAGTACTACTATTATGTCATAATCACATCACAAATGAACTGAATATGAATTGTACATCACTAAGCAGGCAGGTACACTTTTATCTTGTCCAACAGTGCAGTGGGATCTTGTAAGAAAACTGGAAGGTTGTTCCTGTTAATGTAGACAGCCAAGCCCACACCAGCAGCTGACAGCATCAGAGGCCACATAAATGATC